CAGAAGAAAGAAAGTATTTTATTGCCTTTTCGCTGAAACTATAGTAATAAAAGACATGTCCATGTTACTGAGAATTTCTGCGATTTTTGTTGTATTTTTTGGGTCCAGTGATCCGTAATTATTTTACGACAGGCCCTAGTTCACAGGCACTGCGAAATGATGTACAGAAGGAAAGATATTTTCGAGGGAGGTTGCCGTTACCGAGACGTTGGTACGTACCGCGCAGGTACGTACGGTATCTGCACCCGTTCACGATGGTCTGGGCTCGCGCGCTTTGTACATGTATACTTGCTTGCTTTTGCATACGAATATGGTGTGTTTCAAGTTAGAGGCACCCAGAGACCAGTCCGACAGGCCACGCATGACACGTTCACGCACACGTACGTGTACGCATGGGTGTGTGTACGTGAATGCACTGCGGTACTTGCATGTACATGTGCCGTGCACTGTACCATCTACGATGTGTCTGATTCGACCTAGTACACGGTGGTGCGTTTGCCGTGGGTCCTGCGCGTGAAGCTACGGGGGAGGCAGAAGTAAGGAAATTTGAGCAGTGCCTGGGAGAGGAACTCTGGTATCAGGAGCTGATCTCCCAAAGACACCCATCCATCACAGTTCCTCTGCGAATCAGAGGTACTTTATCGGCTTCCCCCTTATAAAGAACACGATGCATGTTTGTCTGCAAAGCATATTTTGTTTAGTTAGTATCTCCTCATCACCCTGAAATGTAGAGCACCAAAGGCTTAAAAGAGCGGGGTAAAATTGTAATTAAATTAGCAGCAGGGACTTGGACGACTGGCTGGCTCTAATTATGCCTTAAATACAGACCATCCTGTGTTTTTGAGAGAGAAGCCTTTCTCCAGACGGCACGTCCTTTGTGCATGTGTGTATTTTGTCTTGTTTCACAGATCAGGATGAGGAAAGAGCTCGATTTTATGCTCGGTGGATCTTCGGAAAATCAGCGCATTAGATTGATGTAAGGTTTTTGGCAGAAGGCACCCTGGGATGTTGATAAGCTTCCCAGAATCACAAAGATTCCTTTTAGGTGTATTTTTGATGTATTTGTAGGGAAATAGGACATCGGGTCACCGTGCAATCCCATTTATTTAAGTATTCGTGCGTGGTAATCAACCAAACCTTTTGACAGTTTGTTCCTGTGTGTGTTAAGCGATTTGACCACCCCAAGGGAAGGTATATGGTGAGAATGATATCTTTTTACGTGAAGGATGGTCCGTTAATACCCTTAAACACAGTCCTTGTTCACTGAGAAAGGAACCCAAGATTGGTCTTACTACCGTCGACGGTTTTTTGAATACCAGGAGTGCCATGGTCTGACCAAAGATCGTATAGCGCCGAAGGCACAAGATGGATAACTCTGCCCAAAAGGTGTAATTACCATGGGTGCCATTTGAGCAAGCGATACGCCTGCGCAGTTTACGGTAATGCTTGGGCGCAGGCTCACCAGGTGCACGTGCCTGCCGCAGCGCCTGCGCCTGTGCATTAATGTGCATTGCGCAGGCGTATCGCTTGCTCAAATGGCGCCTGTGCGATTACAATGTTTTACGTGTATTTACGGTGAAGTTCGCCATCTTGCGCGGCTTCGCGGCGCTATGCGATCTTTGGATCTGACTCATTACTCGATCCGAATCCTGAACTGTTACAGCTGCACATTAACTATATTATTGCAGTTATCGAAGCAGACCACAGCCACTTCCCGCGAGTATGGGCTGGGCATCAATATCAGCCTAACCCATGACCTAGCGTATCCAGGTCATAGGTCTGGGGACTGGCAGGAGTTCCACCTGTAAAAGAATTTTCACCGCCCCCACACCTTTAAAGGTGGTAGTAGCGCTTCTAGAATGTTGGTCTTTCCATTTCTGAAAAAAGATAATTCCAATTCAATTCACATTTATTTCCATACTTGTACAAGGGATTAGGCAGAACAGGGCACAAAAAGTAACAAATTCCATGACAATAATTTAAAACAGAATAATGTGTATAGATCAGTAAAAACATGAATCAACGAAGCCAATAGCAGAAGCATCGTTGAAATACACTGTTTAAACAAATACATGTAATATGTCTCCGGGCAGGACACCAGTCTCCGGGCAAACTCCCCGCCGCTGTCTGTCTATTGGCTACTGACCTAACCTCATAAGTGCACCGGTGTTGTGTAGTCAAGGTCGACTTGAATCATGATGTGATTGAATGACTTGGCAAGTGAGAAATTAAACCATTCCTGTACTCTTTCAGCGCTGTAATTTAATAATAAAAGACACGTGCTTCGCTAAACGATATCCGGTCAGCTTAATCTTTTTTCTTCTGCAGCCTCGTTGTCAACCTATCGCCCATGCGTCGAAAATAATACATATTAATGATCAGCCTCCATATTGCAGCCTCAGGTATTGCCAGAACCACTGATTTCATACTCAGACAGATACGACGACGCGTATACAGTACTGTTTATTATTAATTTTGTTGGCACACGTGCATGGGCCCCCGCCCGATATTAGTGTCAAAGGCGTGAAGCTTCATTCATTCGCTCGTTCCAAATGTTCACCACTGAACTGTTTAAGCACGGATTAGATAGACCCATGGAGCTAGGTAGAAATAGACCCGAGCATCTTTGTCCCATCACAAATACGAACCCGAAAACTTCGTTGGCGCTAAGTAATACTCATAAAACATCAGGAAACTAACACAATATGTATACTTAAAGTGAGACTAAAAACGTGCAATTTTGAAGCTTAGATTGCAATGAATCAAAAAAAGTTGCCAGCTTCATAACACGTTGCCGTTTATAGGCTTCCTGAAAGCAAATCTTGTTCAAGAAAGGGTCACCAAGTCTGCGAAATGTTGCCTAATTCCAAGTCAGGTCTATTAACCCTAACTCCCAAGGGTGTATGTAAAATCGTATTTAAATTGGAGGATTTGGGACGTTAGGGTTAATTTAATAACAGCTCCAAGTGTAATGTGACCAACTTAAGTATGACCACAAACTCGTGGAATTGACAAATTGAATTACTCAATTTGTCAGGTAGTTGGCCTATTTTTATTGCTATTGTTTGTTACTGTCGATTAGCGTTGACGCCTTTATCGAGATGGGCATCACGTTTCACTTTCTCGAGTCACATCATCGACAGCTTCTGCCGGTTGGCTTGACACAGTCCCCCATGCTCAAGCTAGTCCCCTTTGGCTGCTTTTAGTAAACCACTGAGTCAGGGTCACTTGAGTCCATCTTATATAAGCCTCTAGACTTCACCAGCTAAGAGCATCCTGCAACCTACATCCACCCCCTTCCTGTACCAATCTCCTACCCCTTATGGTATCCCAGGATTAAATTTACCTACCTGCATCACCCTCTTACTAATCATACTACAGAATACACCCACGCCTTTTGACAAGATCTCCTGTGGTGCTTGTTTCTCTTGGGGGATAAGAGATGATTAACCCTCCTATATGCAAATTTAAGATGCATTCTTCACAAGTTGTCCTATCAGTCAAAACCAGTCAAATGGCCCTTATGTGTCTGTGTACTGTGGCAAATCAAGTGGAAGGAATTTTTGGACTGTGACTGTTAAAGCAAAAGGGTTAACAAGGAAAACTGATTAATTGAATTCTACGTTATGTAATTAACGTTCCGTGTAGTTTATGGTTATACTAACATAAATGTCGGTATTTCTGTTCTAATCTTGTCTGCATCGGATTTTTCGACGACATTGAGTGTGGCGTTTACATTGCTTTGTGTGAGTTTGATAATCGATTGGTGGGAGTAACGTCCTATGGAATCCGCTAACTGACACCCTCTACCGACGGAGTAAAGCATGAAGTATGGCAAAGTTCGATATTGGCTGTTTGGAGAAGTCCAAGACAAAAGCAAAAGGCAAATGCTTTCTGCAGCTACCGCCTTTTCACCGCGTCTTTTCTCCAGGGTCTGACAGCTCCGCAGCTGTGTCATCTCTGACTCGCTGTACAGGAATTATGTCGCATAAAGTCCCATTGCTCATCAGTCCACCGGTGAAATTTGTTGTCTCGTCAGTCGTCGCCTTTGACGCTAGCCCGACCGCGTCCGACTCTGTTCGCGGTGGCTGTTTTTTCCTACAACTCGATGAGTCCAAAGTTGGAGGTTTTATTGGTCAGTTCCTGTTTTTGGTGGAGTTGATCAGAGGTATAAGCTACTGAAGTGGTGGGAAAGTCCAGAGCTTTGTCTCAGTCATGGTAGGCCTGTATGCTTTGAACCTTCCTCCACGACTAAATCAATTTGTCACTCATAATATAACTTAATTTTACTATAAACCCAATACTGGTCGCACTCATTACATAGGTGGTGTCCTTTCCTGCACTTCCGATGGTCTTCTTATCAATGATTCATTAACTCAATCGCTTGAGCGACTTGGAAGCAACGATCTTGGATTCTCAGTTACATGTGCGGCTTTGGAGAGGGACTTTTTTTCTGGGAAGTACTGAAGTTGGGAAAATTCTCCAAAACAAAAATTGCCAGTGTCATTTATTATATCAAGCCCCGTACCCCACCTTGAACCTTGGTTATAAGACCTCGCCTGCTGGTGGAAGTATGGTTCGGGATTTACATTCCCAGAGCGACTCATGTCTTCAATAAGATCTGTAGGAGTGACATGCGTGGAGGCGACAAACCCACTAGCAACGACTCCACGACCTGAAATTTCATGTCCATGAGGAGAAGTTTTTCATGTCTCAGTATTCTACTGTTTTATTGGATCGGTGACTTTTTCCTGGTCTGTTCCTGTTTTGATGCGATCGACTTATCACTGAATGTAGGACAACGTTCCCGAGTGCCTTCTTTTCACTTCGACGAAGCCGGCCTGGCCGCGTTCTTGGCTACAAGGGATAAGACGTCAGCAGGGCAGCATTATTGTACTGCCAGCCGACCGTGTATGCGCTGAGTCAACCCGATTATTCATTCTGCTACTTAGGGGACTGCATCGGCATAAACCCAGTAAGACCTTAAATATTCACGGTCTTTACCAATGTTTTCCTTGCGACTAATTCAATGGCCTATAAGGAACGGATTGTGTAACCTGTCTCACTTTAGAACGATGCGAGGTGCAGACAGAGTGAATCTAGCGTGAGGACATTTTCGAGTAGTGCGAACGAGTGCCACTGTCAAAGGTCAGTAGTAGTTTCGCCTATTCTACAAAGTTATCTGTTGGTACTTTTTGTTTGTTTTTATTTTGTTATTTTGTAACTGTACGAACTGGCTGTGGCCGTGTTCATTTGTTTTAAGACAACTGGTCATTTATCTTATTAAGTCCTTGGTACCATTCAATGGTTTATATCAGTCCCGAGTGCAGTGTCGAGTGCAGCCCTTTCCATTACTGCTGTGTTGAAATAAGCCCGGGTTGTGGATAATTTTGGCGAAGTTTCTCCTTGTTCTCCCTCATGCAAGGACTGTTGAAAAAGTCCTTATTCCTACATCTTAATGAGGGAAGGGCTGCACGCTGTCTCCAGGGTGGGTCGAGCCAAATTTTCGGCTGCCAAGCCTTGGCCATCTCCGTCTTGAGACCTTGTGTCTGCCCCCCCCCCAATGCCCCCGGGAGAGGATGAAGAATTCTGGCCCGGATGGTATCGGGGCGTTGATCTGGGTCAAGTTGAAAGTGGGTCCACGTACAACAGGAGGGATTCAATCTTGAGGAGAAGGCACGATGCCAAAGCGCTATTTTTGGCCCATTTTTCCCGTTCTATATCACATTCACGTGCAGCTGGAGGCACAGGGTATTTTCTTCGGCTTTGAATTAAAACTGAAAAATGCTGGTCGTGTTTCGTGACTCGACATGGGAGAAACTCGATTCATTTATGTTGTGATCTTCATATTTGACTTCATATTGAACACATCGGAGCCATGTCAAGGGCAGATACAGAACAGAAAATTGCGGAGGGAGGAATTCGGAAAGGTTTTTCATGCAACCTTACATTGCCTTCCAGAGGGGTGAGCTACATTTGGGGCTGTCACACGATTTTGGGAGAGATCAAATCGGATAATATTGTGTCGTTCATATCAAGGTTCCGGAATCTTGAGAAAGCAGCATCAAAGAAAATATTCGACAAAAACTGTACTTGGGTCTAAATAATTCATTAATTAACTCCAGACCTCGCATTTTGAGGAACATAATACAGAAATAAATTGCACTGGGTGGGCCTTGTCGACTGTTCCCTCGGACCAACTACGCTGAGCACAACAACGTGGCTGAAATACAAAGACATTATCACGTAACCCTACTGACAAACGAATAGGCAGTTCCACCTCGCTGGTATAAAAAAAAAAACTGTGAAGAATGTTTCACTGCAGATAGTCGGTCTTTTTCAAAACATACTTGAAGAGAGTTCCTTTCGTTTGGGCATGCCCCTCCCCTCGATCCGTACAAGGGTTACTTAGTTGTGACTTTGGCACAAGAAATATTGATGTTAGGCCTACCTGTCTGGAAGGCTGAGCACTTCGTGTGTGAAAAGAGAGAGGAAACGTAATTTTTCCAGGCAACATACTTCTTCTCGTATTTCAAAAGTCATTGCCGTTTTCAAAGTTGCTAGATCATCTAGGGGAAAGTGACTGTTCAATCTTAAAACTGGCATAGAATTGGACACCAGGCCTACTTCAAAAATTGTTTTTGTGTAGATCTATCTTGGCCTATACTGTCAGGCGCAAGAGCGGATTACAGTGTGGGATGGCGCTTTCCCGCGACTGAACTCAAACTCAGTGGCTTAATACGAAGCTCTGTTGAATTTTTAGAAAATTCCAATAGCACCAGGGAAAGCAACATACATGTACTTATAACCAGTCCAATATTTCTGATCTTCCAAATCAAAGAAGAATAAAATGACCTTAAACAACTAAAACAGCAGGTGCAGAAGACATCGTTTAGACTGGAGGAAGCGCTCTGTTGCGACTAAAAATAGTCTGATCATGTGACCGTCCTTCCTGACTCTTTATAGGCGCATCCGTGTGTACGTAGACATCTTGTTCTTCAAGTGCTCAATATTTAGACTTTATTTCAAGTCGGTTCATAAGTGGGTTTTGCTTGTTTGGGACCGCCAGCAGTGCCACCTGAAATGCTCTAATACTGAGGATTACTCGCACGGTGTCGACTTGGAACTCGGGCAGCCTATGAGAATCATCACTAATGGTTCGATTTAACGTGAAATCGGCGATAATTTTATCTGTCATTACGGAATACGGTACGGTCATTATTTATTTCTATAGTTTGAACTATTCGTTGAATGCAATAGTCTTGAAAGATTTTAAGTTTTTTGTCAACAACAATATTGAATTCGTCGGCATTTTAAAATTAGTTTCATTGCTAATTCGCTTTTTTTTAAATCAAATTTAATTCGTACACATCATTAAATGTTTCAACTCTTGTCAAGCAAGCTTAGATTAAAACGGTGAACAAACAGCAAGGTTTTATACTTTCATATTGCCAAGCACGTTATCAAGGTGAACTATCCCGCAAAGGGACATATCTGAGCACCATCTTGCTTCACTTCATTACTATTGATCTGGTCAGTCCAGCATGGTATTTCATGAACCTCCGTTGCAATGAATTACGGATTATCACTGTCCTTGTGCCAGGTGGCTTGGTGTAATAGATACCTAGCTTGCAGCGTACGGTAACTCAACCAAAACGGTGGTTTCCCGCGGGCAGAGGTCCAGAAAGGCGATGGCATGCTTGCGGATATCTGTACCGTCTCAGGTTTCTTCAGCGCAGGATCTCATGCAGCCGGCAGTGGGGAAGGGTCAGACGAAGACTGGCTTTCGGTTAGATTTACCTTGAAATGGTTTGATAGACGTTAAAAAAGGACCAGGTAATGGTAATGTTTCTGAAACCTTATTTTCAAGTTCGTCCTGCTAATTGTATCCGTGTTTTGGGGGCATTTTCAGTTTTTATTTTTATGAATAGCGCTAATATGAATTTGCATTTTTCAAGAGCAAATCTTTGATGTTAAGGCCTAGGCACTGAACGTCAATGTTGTATTGATTTGTACACAAAAATGTTGTTGAAGATTTCTATTCATTTTATCAGTACATGGTATTAAGCCAGTGAGCAACAATTTCTCAGAATTTTTTTCCAGGAGCCATTCTAGGCTTCAGAATTTGAACATGAAAACGTGCAAACTGAAAAGTGCCTTCCTGTAATTACATCAGACTAACTTCTATTAGATCTGCAACTCAATTACATCTGCGATTTCCATTAAATCCAATATTCTTGTCGATTTGAGTATTTACTGCCGTTTTGACATTATATATTGTGTAATATGATGTGGCACGCTAATAAGCAAGACTTACAAGCATCGACAACACGCGTTTAAGTGAGAATGGTTTCTTTTCAATAAAACAAACAAGAATGTGACAATGTAGTGAACATAAACATTTTTTAAATTTCGCTATGTCCAACAGTATGGTAACGACTCAAACCATACACCGCTTACACACTTTCTTCCTCTAAACACATTAGGCCTAAATGATGTTCATGCAGTTTCGTTCAATTAATTCTGTTGATATTACAATATATTACGGTTATGCTAGTAACTGTGCATTTATTCGTGGAAGCATGGCTTGTTCCTGAGGGTGGGTTATTGGATTTCTGGAAGCTGTCGTAGGAAATCAATTAAATTCATGTTATATTTTATCCTCTTTACATTTTAAACGGAATTGCGGTCGCCACATGTTATGACGTCACACTGTAGGGCTAATGAATAACGCCCGACACTGTCTTCCTCCTCAACCCCTAGCCCTCTGGTAGCTAAAGGCTGAGTTAATCGTGGGATCGTGGTTGCGAGTCAAGCCGTAATCGTAATCTTGAGATATATCATGGGTGTGACGTTTTTGTCTTCTTCCTAATTATGAAAGGCATCCAGTCTATCAAGTCTTCTTTTCAAAATTAAATCGACCAATGAAGAAAATATACTACCTGCCTGGAAGTGATAATGAAAATAATAAGATACACGCAGTATTTCGCTATTTTTTCAGCATCGAGACAACCGTGAAAGTTTCTTTTATGGGCATATCGCAGAGCATAATTATACATTGCTTTGTGGGATATAAGCATGATGTGAAAAATGATTGTAGAAAAAATTGAAATATTTTTTCAACATTGTCAAACCTTAAAATATAAAAACCCAAAAGGCGGAACTGGATAAATAACAAAATGAGTATCATTCGGGAAGCGTGTAAAAGCATTATGTTGTGTTGTTCTATTGTCGAAAATCATCTTTCCTTGGGTTGGGACGCAGATGAATGCACCCCTCTTTACCAAAAGATGGAAATAATTAATTAACGTTGTTTTTCTGGGCTCTAATAGACACCCTCATCGAGTACATGTTCGCAACTAAAAGCAACATCTGATCGCCATCACCGTCTCAAATGGGACGTGCCAGAAAAATCTGACTTCCGAGATTACCCATGAGTCAGATACCGCTAATCCGTGTCGGGGCGTCTCTACCTTGTTTTGGACATCGTAGGAGTCTAACATAAAATCAGCCTTGTGTTCCAGGCTGGCCCTGAGAGATTCGCTCAAGCTACGACGTGGCTGTCTCGGTTATGCTTCCTGAGGTTATAGCTCAGATATAGACATGACGTAAGCTAGGGGTACCAGTCTATGTTTGACCTCAGTTTTCGAGGTTCCAAGCACTAAGAAGCTTTAATGAAATAAAATAAACTTTTTTGGGTTTTCATACTGGCGTGATATTAATGTAGTCTTCTGTAAGGTCCTCTGTCAAAACAACGTAAAGCTTACATTGACGAAATTCTGCTAAAAGCCAAAACGTGTACTCAGGGTCAATTTCCACTTAAGCGTTTTGGTAAGAGGAGAAAACTTTCATTAACATTTGCTTGGCTCATTTACTTTTCCATAATCAGTCTTTGCTTCCTTCAACAAAGATCGTTAAAAAACGACTTCAAGTACAGCAAAGAACAGCAAAGGTCTTACAGAGCGACATAATTTCTTTTCCATTAGATTAAATCCAAACAACTAATTATCTTTAAATGAAATTGCAGATTCACAATTATTATGATAGTGTGAATGGACAAGGGCTGTGAAATACGTAAGGGTCTTTGTAAGGGTCTGTTTAATTAAAGTCCTCCCCTTTCTTAGACATCTAAGAAAGAACACCAACGTAGTCGTGGTTAGAACTGGGAAAGTATAAAATTCCGCAAGCTGAGTTCACAATTGAATTTGCTGGGCATCCTTTCAGCTTTCCGAACTTACAAAACCCGTGGGAATTGCGGGGGAAGTGGTTTATATATAGAAAAGCTGGGTACACCGAATCATGTTAGCTGGAGTAAAAAAAAGGAACCAGTTTGTTAGGGATGTGAGATCAAATCTCCCGCTTTTGCCACAGATATTGGTTCATGCCGAAGGAAGAACGATATTAGAATAAAGAAGCAAGTTTTGTTTCTCCACAAACTCCTAAATTGAAACAAAAGCTGGCTTAAAAACAAATTTTTCTTGAACATCCACGTGGTAACGGTGAAGACTTTTACACTGGGAACGGGTGTGCGTTTGTTGATTGACCTGTTTGAAGTAGTTTTGAATGTCTGTGTTTAGTTATTCGGACGCTGCTAAGTTCACGGTGATTATGTACCAAATTCACTTTCCTCGCGCTTTGGAACAACAGAGAGTGAAAGATGGTCACTGACTAATAGATTTCTCTATTCCGATATTGGAGATCACTCATATCCTTTTGTCATTCTGATATCTGTGTTTTGCTCTCGAATTATTTATGTTGGTTTCATTAGTTTTTTTCTGTGATCTTTCAGAGTGATTTTCCGGTCCTCTGTCCAATGTCTTGGCCGAACTATTCCTGACAGAATCATGCTTTGAGATTGGGCTCAGAATGTATGGCCTCTGCTCCAAGAGTGCGAATTAAACCTTGCCCCAATTGGCATGAAATCCCCCTTTGATCCAAGCCCAACGCTCCCACCCAACAAGCTGCGTCTGCCGCCTGCACTCAGTCTGCGCAGCCGAGGGGGCAATTATTGTTCATCGTTGTCAGAATGCTTCAAATCTTGAACTGTCGATACGCTTGGACTGTTCCTCAGTATCAATGATGACACGCATGTTGAACGCCGCAAAAACATCGCGTAACATACCGGTACAAGGGGAAGCTGTAGACGGCAAGCAATTTAGATACGATGAGGGATGCAGTTGTCTTCTATTTCTCTGTCAACAGTGCGAATTTCAGGAGGCTTTAACGTTTCCCGCGCAGAACGAACTTGGCGATTACATCATCGGTGACATGGCTGCTTCTTTGGTTTACCAGTGGCCACCCATATGCAGACCGCTGCTTGTTATAAACATAGAAAACCTCAAGTCCCAAATCGTTCTGATCTACGAGTGTTTTGCCCGTTTATAGTCGGATACCAACCATGAAGAGAATGACTCACCTAACATAAAATTTTGATTTATTGGCAGCTACAAGTTACCGATTATTCCATATAATGACATCAATGGCGTTGGTGGTCGTGATGATCCTCGTCTATGCTACAGTTTTTTTCGCCGAGATAGCAGCTCAGACATGGCGTAAGTAAAACCAGCTGGAGTCTTACAAGTCTGTCGAGTGTAGATCGCTGTATTGATCGTAAAAAATAAATGAAGGACCCATCGCTTGCAAAAAACTCTCACAGATTGGCACCAAATGTTATAAACGAAAAAAGGGTCTATATCATTCTTTCAGTGTCTTTAAATTACCACACTCGCAACTTTTGCGACTGCACCCATCTTCACTGTTTTTGGTGTACATTGCAGGCTCTTCGTCGGAATACGTTGTCCTAGACTGTCCGAAAGGCCTATCAGTACCGACAGAAATAGGGCGTCCCTGGTCCAGAGTGACGTGGATGGAACCTCGTTTCATTGATCCAGATGGTGTAGAAGTTCTTCCCGCCAGAATATCACACAACCCGGGAGAAAGGTTCTTTCTGTTTAAAAGTATTATTTCATTTGCAAATTAATTATGTGCCCTTTTCTTTTTTCTCTCCCTCAATTTTTTTTCTGACTGAACTCTGAAGCAGAGTAATTTAGTGAAGCAAAGGTGTCTTTTCGGTAACAAATTTCTGTGTCAAAAGCCCCATGCTATCCACCCAGACTTTCTCCTTACAAATATCTGCGGCCACGTTCATGCGTAGAGCTGCGAAGTGGAAAACGTGGCTCAGGTGTCTATTGTACCTATCAAGATTGTGTGCTAACAACTCCGTTTCACTGGCTTCAGATCTGTCTTGATTATAATGAAGGCTGACTGTACATGACATTACGCAATAAGACGTGATGTTAAAGGGTAACCGCAATGGATTTTTCGTAGACACAATTTTTTCTGCAACTTTGTGCTCCTCTTCAATGTATGGACACTGTTTGGCACTCCCATTTGGTTCAATGCATTGAAAAGTGCTCATTTTCAACGCTTAAAATTATCCATAATTTCCTTGACAGCTGAGGGCGCTGTTACTTTGATATGTTTTTCTTTAAAATTTTGAACCTAGAACTTATTTACTAAAAACTTTTCTGAAGAAAGCATAGGTGCTCACTTATGGCTTTGCGCATAAACAACAATGAATTAACAAAGAAGACAACATTTAGTCCAGAAAAATCTACAAAAATGCGTGACTCTTTTGTGTAAAAAAAACAAAACAAAATATGTAACATCTAGGCTTTCTCAACTGCAAAAACTGGGGTGCTAAATTTAACACCCTGGGTGTTATCAGAGGACTACACCAACACTTTTCACTGGTGTTAAACTTTGGGTGTTATTTGGTGATACTTTTAACACCCTCCAGTGCATTGGAACACTTATAGATGTGCAAAGTAACACCAGCAGTGTTAAAGTAACACCCTGTGGTGTGGTCACCAAAAAGTGTTGATTTTAACACCAGACTTTTTACAGTGTTCCTGGAATGGCATTACAGTTTTTCTCTTTAATATGGAAATACTCATTAGCATAAAACAAAAAGGCAGCAAAAGACCTTTTGAAACAGTGAAACAAAAGCTGAACGTAAGGTTAACTTAGACAAAAAGGTACATTTTGAAGGTTTGTAGTAAAACAAATTGACTGCAGCTAGCCTTTTGTAACACCCAGAGCTTGATTGATCAGTCAAGACTTATAGAACTTGAATGTACACATCCGCTCCTTTCAGGTTTCCCGTGGGTACGCATACCGTCAAGTACACGCTTGTCGAAGGGAACCACAAAGTCACATGCAGTTTCATCGTCAGAGTTGATGGTAAGCTGATCCTGTCAGGACGAAGTAAAGTGTTTCTTCGAAACGCCTAATATAGTCTGCTGTCTGCATGGAAGGACGCATCCTTCTCTGGAAATAGGACAATGACGGGAAGAGTTAATTAGGGGAATTGGAAAAGTCACTGCAAATGGACAGGAAAAATCTGTTCGAGATTGGCACCAAAATGTCCTGGATTCAGACACTATGCCCCACTATCCAGTGTGGGCATATCCTGGGTAACTGTGTTAGTTTTACTGTATTGGTATGTCTCTATGAGACGAGAATTAGGACCAATGTGTTTGGTTTTTCAGGGTAAACAATCCCCACTATTAAGTCTTGTGTAAAAGTTTGACTTCTATTAGAAAACTTTCACAGTAAAATCTGTTTAAGCTTAAACCTGACACTAGTGTAGTGTAGTGTAGTGTAGTGTAGTGTAGTGTAGTGTAGTGTAGTGTAGTGTAGTGTAGTGTAGTGTAGTGTAGTGTAGTGTAGTGTAGTGTAGTGTAGTGTAGTGTAGTGTAATGTAGGTGTTGCATGCTGGACCAAGTGGTGTTCTAGGGTCTCTGCGTGTCATCGATTTGTTGTATAATAGAACGCAAAAAGAGGAAAACTGTGCTGAGAAAATACCGGTTGTATCATAGCAGTGTTAGGCATCAAGCACCGTGCGCTTTGGCCAGTATGGACTTTTTCTGACCTTGTGCGCAGATGAAGAACCGCCGCGAATAGTCAACTGTCCATCAGATATCACAGTTCCGGCGGACCGGGGAAGCACTTCTAGGTCATCAGTCTCGTGGGACATGCCCCTGGCAACAGACAACTTCCGGGTGAAGTATTTCGGTTCGTCCAAACCCGTCGGCTCGTCTTTTGCCATGGGCTACACCCGCGTGACCTACACGGCCGTGGATCTTAAAGGCAACCAGGCAAAGTGCACGTTTAACGTCATTGTCACTGGTAGGTACCTTTAAAAGATGCAGAGTCTGCGCCGTCGCAGCGACCAGACTCCCTAGTTCACGGTACTTTTGGGGAGAAATTGGACAATTTTTAATGTGACGTCTCATGCAGCTATCCCTAACCTGTATTATCGACCAGGAAATTCAGGGGTACCGCCCTGTCGGCAACAGGAATTGAACACTGTACAAAGAAAAAGTACTTCATTTGCACAGTTTTGTGTATCTCCTGACTAAATGCCAGATCAAAAGGATATCAAATGTCCTTTTTCAAAACTGATTTAAAGAATTACAGTGTTCCCTCTGTCGTGTTTTTTCTTCTTTAGCAATATTACAAATGTGTTCTTTCAATGAAACGTATTGACACGAGCACTAGTGATTTGGGTTGAAGGTCAAAGAGCATAATGAAGTCGGCGATTATCGATCGTGGATGATCATTTAAAGCACCGTAGATGTAAGACAGAATTTGAAAACCAAAGTCATGAGTGGCAGAAGAGAGGTGAAAACTTAGGAAAACGACCTCTGCTCATGTTACTCTTGAGCAGATGATGAGAGCCCTATACTGGAAGGATGTCCCGCAGAGGCCCTGACTTATGTGCCTCCGATGGCCAACGGTGGTCCCGTGTCCTGGACTCCTCCCCAAGGCATCGACAACTCTGGCCCGCCCCAGATCACCTGCACGCGCTCCCGGGGAGAGAACTTCCCGCTCGGCCAGACTGAGGTGGTGTACACAGCGACGGACGCAGCCGGCAACACGGCAACTTGTTCCTTCAAAGCTGTTGTCAAGGGTGAGTCTGTCTGGGGTGATTTGCGTAATTGCTTTTGGAAGAATGCGAGCCATTGCAGTTTTTTTTGGGGGGGGGCGGAGATTTGAAAAACGGCTCTGTCGGGACGTATTTGCAGATCTGGAGACGTTTGACTGTCAATGAACCCAGCTGGGTCAAAATGTGCATTGAAAAAAATTGTATCACCGTGAAATGTATTTGATTTATTTGAGTCGTCAATGTCGTTTGATTAATTCAGTAATGGTTCAAAACACAGACTTCCAACACTTAAAGTAATGACTGCGTGTTAGTCATTATCGTCTTTTGTAGGTCGGTGCATATAACGACATATTGCACATTGAAACTGAAAAGGCACCAACCTGCCAAATCCTGTCGGCAAGTTGACAAATGTGTGGTTGCCGTTCAACACACTGCTCGAAAGTTCTATAGTTCGTATGTTGCTTAGATTTTACAGTGCTTATCACCAGAAACTCAATGGCACATTCTACTGACAATTAAAATTAGCTTCTCCAACTTCATTTTCGAACGTTTGCGTTTATTTAGAGTCCACTGTGGAACAAAGATGATCGACAATATATAATTAATGAATGTGCCTCCATAGGAGGCCAAGAACATGATTGTGTCGTATAAGATAACTCGCTCTGGAATTTGAACGAATCACAGTCCTTGCACAGAACCTGCTAGATTTTCCTGTATGCTATGTACAAAACTGACGTTTTTCCCGAGTTGGTAATTGGATGCTGGATCATCGACAAGTAAGGGATGGGGGAACCAACGTCCCAGCGCAGTACTGTGCGGATCACAGCGTTATTGCGCATAGAGAACAAAACCAAATCAATTACCAATTTGGCACCATGTAAGACTCAGACAGGACACTGCACCCTTGTATATTTTTGGCTGATGTAACCGCAAGTCGCTTCCTGCGTCGACAGGTGATGATTTTGTCGAGTGATGCGTTTCGGCACCGATGTTGTGCCTCTTGCACATACCTTTTCCTGTAACTTTTTTGCGAAAATGTTCTTATTTGTGGCACAGATTTTTCAGTGACCTGCGCAGGAAATTCGATTTGATTCTCTAAATACGGTGTATGCCCCTTGTTGATTCAGTGTTGAATCACCAATTGTCGTAATCACAAAACGTCTCGTCCAAATGGGCCGAACTTCTGTAAATACACAAAACATGAATGTTTTGAAGTCGTTTTAAATTTCAAGTCGAAATGTTGTTGAAGAGGCCAGGTCTAAAGGGAAGAGAGTCCACTTGTGACATGCAAGCCTCAAAAACAACTCTTTTAATAGAGGTACATCACGGGATGTCGCCTCTGGGACGGTAGAGGCTACTTTAAGAAACACAGCAAGGTGGTTCTCATTTTTCGAGATATTTTAAGTGTGACCTCAACGGAAACCTTGACCTTTGAGACATTCAAGACGTGATTTCCCAGTTGGTGTATGCAATCAAAGACTAAGTTCACAATCAGATTACATGACATGAAATGAGGCTGGGCTGGTTCCCTTATCCCCGCATGTGCAATCATGTTCACCCCCGGTTGAGTCATTGGACGAGTTGACATCCTGGATGTTGATTGCTCGGTGTACATCCGGCCCTTCACAGTATATGCTGTGCGCTACGCGACTGCTGCATAATTCTCTACATACTGTGGCATCTTTGGGGAGAATCGTGCCATCGTGTAGAACTTTCACACGGTATGAATCAACGTATTCCGGTGCTCAGTGCTTACGCACAAACAGGTATTAGATTTTCTGCTCCCGTCATAGTTTCCAAAATGTTAAGTCGCAATGATAAAATGATAAATCGTTCAAGTGTGTAGTCATTCATACTTATCGATCCGCATCTGTACTCTTCAAATCGATGACTTACTGTACGCCAGGCCCAATTTGTCGATAAATGTGGCTCATGCCCAAGCTGATAGTTTTTAACTCTCCAGCCTTACCATAGTACCGGGCGGGTTCTAAGGAGGGATTAGGGGGGCGCGACGGGTCATTGCCACCTCTGCCCCCCAAAAAATCCCCCCCCCTTTGAAAAATAATGACAAAATGGCCATTTATTTGTTCCATTTCATTTCTGTTCTTTCCAAAAGCATTTAAATGTTAATTCATTGTCTAGTTGTTGTCTATTCAGCCACTCCCTAACGTAATTTGTTGTTTTTTTCTCCTACCGCTATAATTCCTATATTTTTTCTTGTGCTTCTGTTTACCATGAAAGGTTAACTGGAAAATTCCAACTTTTTGTCCCCCGCCCCCCCCCCCAAAAAAACGGTGCTGGACCCGTTGTTGCCAATTTCTTTTGATTGTTTCCACAGTTGAGGTTCCGGGTAGCAAAATTTTTCTGCGCAATCGCACAAGCACAGAGCTCGAAATCAGCTGGCCTCAACACGTGAATCAGAAGGCCTCCAGTTACCTCATTTACATATGGCCCGTGGGCACCAGCCAACCGCTGGCCTCAGACCATCGCTACCACCCGATCAATTGGCGGGAAAGTTTCACCACGCGCACTCTACGTGGTCTTTCTCCCGGCACATCATACAACATCCGAGTCTACGTGACTGGAGTTGGGGAACGGTTATACGCAAGACTGAGGACAAGTACGCAGTTTTAATAACAATTCGATAATGTTATTGGAGTTTTACTTGTTGTACTATAAAATTGGAATAAAAACCTGAGAAAGGTTTCAGAAATTCCTTATTTAAAGAATATGGTTTATGGTTTTGAATGTTCAATGCTGTTTTACCTATCTTCTATCTTTGCAAAGTAGTAACCACCATAAGCCTTACCTCTGACGTGGAAGAACTAAAGGGTAATGAAAGTCCACTCGGCTACAAATAAACATTATCTCCTTCTTCTTTTTATAGGACCTAATGCGCCCAGCGGGTTTACATTCATAGCAGAGAGTTTGGACTCCACCTCGGTCGTCCTTTCTTGGCAGCCGCCAGCTGGGAATTTCGACCAGTACCAGGTCTCGTATCATGTTGTAACGAGCGACACTGTCTCGACGTTACGGCTACTGGACAAAAGGGTTGTAAAGAAACCCGTGAATGATTTGGATCCCGGTACTACATACATCTTTACTCTGGTGTCGGTGAGCGGTGTCGGGGAATCGAAATCGACAAGTGTCCCAACTACACTCACTATTCGGACAGGTACAGTAGGCCATTGTCAATAACGACACCGAAGCTATCCCTTTCAATTTAATCTATTAAATTTGGTGCCCGAGTATTTGGGGTTTCAAGCTTCTATTACATTTGTACATGCGGCTTGAAACATTTAGATAAATAAATCCTAAATTGACTTCTTCAATATTTTTGGCATAAATTGGCATGAATTAGTAATGAACTTTTATTTAATTAAAAACTAACCTCACTATGAATTCAATATGACCGACTTGTGACTGAAGTCTATTCGTTTTGTATAAACCAGGTTATCAGCTGTAGACTCCAAAGCAGTAGACTTTCGATGGGATCGCTCAAGTTATGCAGAATAATGTATTCACTTAAAAGAGGCTTGAACCGCAGACTACAAATTTTGAATTCGTCACATTTTTTCAGTTTCAACTTTAGATTTGTCCTAACCTAAACGCTGTGTTATCTATGCCGTTATACCATATAGCTAATTATGTGGATAAAAATACATCCTCGTAATTTTGGTTCCTTGTAAAAAAAATTATAGCCGTGGATACCTCCAGAATATACAAATATTTAAATTGTACAATGGTTCTTATACCACCACAAATTCCCGAAAAATTGTATGTCTATGGTAAGATCAAGGAACTTTCTGTGTATTTTTTTTCACCAGCCCCTCTCCCGCACTCTCAAATCCTCCTTCCAAAAGTAACCGCCACTTCCATCCAGATAGTTGCCCGACTCGTCCCAGCAATCACCACCCAGATCCTTAGACAATTCGACCGAGGAAGCTTCCCAAACAGTGGCCGTGTGGTGCGGCCATCAGCAGAAGACGAAGCAGACGACTATCACAGTAGTGACGGTTACGTTGTGGTCATCTACTCCAATTACAGCGATGTCTTTACGGACGTTATATTCGAATCTGGTACCCTTGAATACGAGTTCACATCGCTGGCACCCACCACGCTGTACATGATACGGATTATACCGTCAGATGCCAGTGGAGAAGTCCTGGAAAAGACTGCCATGACTCGTGAGAATATAGTTTTTCAAGCATATCCAAACTTTCTAGCCAGAACCACTGATATTCCAAAAGTCTGAATAAAAAGTCGTTTACAGCTTTTTACATCTGCGTATCGATCTCGTTTTAAGGAAACCTGTGGTGGATATTTAGCCCAGCAATATAAACAAGATCTAAATACTTGTTTTCATCAGAAATGAAAAGACGATAGTAATTTTTCAGCTCTTAAAGAGCAACACCAGAGTATGCACAAGGGCGCTATTTTGCTGATGTCGAACAAGGCATTCCTTGTCAAAAAAGCACAAGAACAATACAAAAAACCAATCCTTCAAAATCGCCCTCCAACAATGTTGGAGAGTAATGTTCACAAGCCCTACCCCCATGGTGTATGTAAAAGATTGAAATTGGAGGATTGAGGACTGTTAGGGTTAACGTGAAAACCATGCATAAAGTAAACCCTAGTGCAAATAAATGTGAAAAGTGTGACAAAAGGTGTGCATAATAAGAAGGCACTCGTGTTCTACCTTTTTTGACATCCACGCTTTGGCTCATGAATATGGAAATCTTAATCAGCATAAATACAAAATGTTGCTATTCCTCCCTTAAGCTCCTGCAATGGAGGTAGACACTTATCGTAACACGTAATTAAAGCTGGGCTTTGTGTATTTTTATTGTAAAATTCCTGTTACACGTTTCCTTTTAAAAGTACCGCTGGGCGATATGTGTCATCCCTTCCTTACATCTTTTGAGACTAATTAATCAAATGTGTAATCCAATGCTTTAGTTAGTCTTGCCTTGATTTTCCTCGATATTTTGTTTTTCATACGTGATGATTCAACGAGAAAGACCTTCAAGCCGATAACTCCAGGGATTTTCCTCCAGATCCTGAAAAAACGGTTTAGACCCTAGCTTATGGCGGTAGGACCCTCGCAGTTCCTTCTGTTGATAAGTGACTCACGCTAACATGCCTTCCCATTCCATACAGGTCCAATGACTGTCACCGACCTGACACTTCACAAAGTCACCAACTCATCGATCACGATCACTTGGAGTCCCCCAAAGGGACACTTTGAACAGTTCAAGGTGACCTACGCACCGACTAAACTGGAGGATGTCGCCCCGACCATGGTCGATGAATGTCAGGTGACTATCAACAGGCTGGTTCCCATGACAACGTATGTGGTCTCCGTGGTAACCATCTACGGAGTGTTGACGAGCGATCCAGCAGAAATCGAGGTCACTCCAGGAGTTGACAAGGCTAATGCTGTCCTTGTCTTGAATGGTACGTCAGCATGTTACGAGAGATTTTAAACGGTCTCAAATGGGCAGTGTTTTAACACTGCTCGTTCAAGACAACTTCGAAACAAGGTCGAAGCGAAATAGGTTCTCTCGCTTTATTTTCCCTTCAAAAAAACTTTCGAAATCCTTGAAAAACAACGTCTAAACACAGCAGTTATTATTTTAGCAAAACGTGCTGAAACAAAATATAGTCATTATACCACAGCCCATCTTATTGTGCTATAGCTGTAACTCGACGGCTAGCAGATTCCCAAAATCATTGCGCTCACAATGGGAGACTTTTAGACGCCTGGTGGCGACAAACATACCGGTCCTTTTTTTACCAGTTCTGAGCATGCGCGCGTTGTTCTGAGCATGCGTGCATAGTTCTGAGCGCGCACAATAGCTTGATGGTGCATTCCACCAAATGGCTGTATTTGTCCGCGCGGGATCATTAATATTTTGTGATACCAAGGGGTTTTTACAATAAGATATGCCATAATCAGGAGGCATCATGGAAATATTTCTATAAATCCCAAATCTGGGACTTATAGTTTCCAGTTCGGGGTATTTCTTTCACAAAAAGCCCCAAATTGCGGGCCTATTTTCGATAGAGGCGGGCGGCTACATTCAGAGCGGGGCGCATCGTTTACTAGTGTAAAAATCCCGCGGGATCACCAAATATTAATGAGCTCGCGCGCGGAAATGCAACCATTAAGGGTGGAATGCACCGTGAAAAACATATGTGTGCTGCCACCAGCGTCTCAAAGTCTCCAATTGCACTGTAAATGCTACATCGCTGTTGCCACACGCAGCTTGTACGTGCACTTGGTAACTTTATACTTACTTCCTCAGTTCTCTAAGTAATTCAGAAAAGGAAACCTAAGATAACAGGGTTTTTTTACATATTTGATCTGGCAATAGATCCAAGACATAAAAACCTCAAGCTTTACTTACATGCGTGCTTTTCTATGGGGTCCCTGTGAATTTCGTCCCGTGCACCTGCTTCCAGAGGAAAAACCCCATTATGATCAAGGCGTACTTGGCGGTGTATTTACTAAAACCAAGTACAGTTGGCTACTTCAACTTTGGAATTTTTTCAATATATCGCCATTTGTGAAATAAGTGAGAGCAGAACTGACGATTCGGTTGTGTGAACTTGTTTCTGAGTTGCCACGAAATTTGCATTTCCCTCATCGTTAAGGTTTAGGCAGTGGTATTTGCGATAAAATGACTTGTTTCGTAATTTGGTCATCATGTCTGCTCGTTTTCACGAGCCATCAGCCTAAATTTTCGTGATTTTATTTCCCCAGAGTCCTCCTGTATCTCTCCCATCCTAGCCAGCTCTTTTTTAGCGGCAATCCTGATGTTTATCGGAATATACTTTTGCAGATTAAAACTGTGCTACAAGTACATAAGCATACATGTGAGTCTTCTGTACTGTCTTTATGTGAAAGTATACATATTCTTCTCTTTTAATGTTCAAAATTAAAGGAATTCGTCTTTCCGTCTTTGAGGTAAATTTAGGCAGTTGTTTTAGCACATAATTGAGTTGAAAAATTGATATTCTGCTAAATGCAGCAAACATTGTATTCAAGATATGACATTATAAAAAGGTCTTTTTAATTATTATAAAGGTCTTTTTAATTTGAAAATGATGTTCTTGCTTATGTTTTTGGTCATCCTTATCTGAAACTGGCACACATTCATATCACACCCACTACAACAAATGATATATGTTTCGTACGCCAGTGGCTTGAAATTTTTGATGAAATTTTCCTTGGCATGGACTAGGAAGGGGGCTTCTACCATCCACCACAGTCAACTAGCTTTGGAGGGCTCCCCCACCACTAACACCACCACAACCACCGCCTACAAAATCATGCATACGCCACTGGATACAATGGGCATTTAATGAATGCACTCTTTGATTATTTTGAACCACTGATTTTAGAGACGCCACACCGAGGAGAACACTTACGAGAACCCGACCCGTCCAAACAGCGACTACATGAGCTCACCTCCCTACCAGAACACAGAGAGCTCTGATTCCATGACCTCGCTTATCAGATCACCCCCAAGACCAATCAGTGTGTCAGGGTATATGTACCCTCCCATCCCCAGAGGTTTGTTCAGCAGAGGAAAACGGTGAGGCTAAATTTCAGAATGGTTTTAATTCTTTGCTTGGATTCTTCATTACAATGGAAACATGAAACAAAAACATGTTTTCGTGACAGATTCAGTGTAAAAATACATTCCTCTCATACCACTACTACTACTACCACAACTACTACCACCACCACCCCTACTACATGTACTACCACCCCTACTACCACTACCACCATCACCCCTACTATTACCACCCCTACAACCACCACCACTACATGTACTACCACCCCTACCACCACTACCACCATCACCCCTACTATTACCACCCCTACAACCACCACCACCACTACATGTACTACCA